CACTTGTGGTTCCAGCTGCCTTCCAGCACCCAAATCCCTGACCAGAAGTGAGCAGGGTGGTGAGCGCAATGTTTGGCAGCCCCAAGCAACATGTCCATGTGATTGGGAGATTTGGGGTGATCCGGGAGCTCTGGCTGTCCCAATTTTAGCAGGGAATGGCCGTCATGTGGCCGCAGAGCTGGCCTGGGCCACTGGCTGCCCTCCCTGTGCTGAGCCCTGCCGAGCAGCAGCCCAGAGGCACATCCATTTTTGATGCTGTATCCATGTCCAGGTTGGAGGCATCACATAGAACCAGCTGTCAGTGGGGAAGAGAAGAAATAACTAAATGAAGTCACTGCTCAGGCAGATCATCCTTGCTCATTGAATTATTTTTTGATTATGGTTGGGAAAGAGGTGTCTCAGCGGTGCTTTGGGAGTCTGTAAATGTAACGATGACAAAACCCAGCATTACTAATTTTTTATTTTATGCCCTTGCGTTTCTAGTGAGCTGGTTAAACCCTAGCTGCCCTGTGACTTTAGAGGGGTGTCAAAGCGCCAATAGCTTATATTACACAGAACTTTTTCTTAAATTACACGGTGACGTGCAAGTCTGGGCAGTTCTCTTCTTTTTACAAAGTAAAATGCAGCCTTCCCATTTCTGAAATACTGTTATGAAACAGAGCCAATACGTTCCCATTTTCAAAGTCAGGCACAAGCAATGGGTTTTTGCTCTTTGGAAAGTCTGACAGAATATTATTCATCTGTTTGCTTTAAGGGATATCTGCCAAGTGGAAACTCTGTACCTTTTATTCTGAGCAAAGCTGGAACACGAGTATGGAACAGAACACAATTTATTTGACAATGTAAAATAATTTATACAGCATTTAAGCATGCACAGAGGGTGTATTTGATACATGTGGTAATAAAAGTTTATTGATACACCTTTTAATTAATTGCAAAATTTTATGGAGCAAGTTTCTTCCCTCCACGCTGTTGCCCGTCAGCGTTTGTTATGAACTCAACTCCTTCAAAGCAGCACCATCATCACCCAGGCTGCGGGTTGCAGATGTGGGATGTGTCAGTGCAGGTTTCAGCAGCAAGCAGGGCCCTCGTGGGGCAGCTGCTGAGGGGCACAGGGGTTGTGCAGGGGTGGTGGGACCGAGCAGTGTTCCCTTGGAAGAGAAGGGCATAAAGCAGTCAGTTGTCTGAGCTGGGCAGTGCTGGCTGTGTTTTCCCATCACTGCTCTGCTGCTGGATATAAATTATTTAGATAAACAGCTGTGACTAGTTGAGTGCTGCAGTAAAAAAATAAAAAATTAAGCAAGACAAAATGCCTTTCACTTTGTAAATGAGAAATTGTCTGGACAGCCTTCACACAGAGCCAGCGCTATTCCTTCTCCACTGGGTGGATCTCAGAGATAATGCTGCATTTATTTGCTGTCGCTCCTCATACCTGTTAGTGGTCCTAAAACAGGTTTTGCACACATGCCTTAATCCCATGCTGGCTTTACATCACCATCTTCCTCTGTCAGTGCACATTACAGTGTCTTTTCCTGGCTGCTTTTTGTAAATCCTCGCTGTGGTAGTGCATCTAGCAGTGTGCCAGTGCTGTAAAGAGTGTCAGAAGGGAGAGTGGGGCTCCTGTCTCTTCTCTTGGGACATTCAAAGTGTTTGGGACCTGGGCTTGCCTTGTCCTCCATCTCTCATTTGCCCAAAAACATATCAAAATGGTTTTGTGAGTCTTTCTCATCAAATAATCATGCAAGTCCTGCTCAAAGCTGGAAAAAAAAAAAGAGAGAAATCCATGGGGTGTGGTGCACAATTACACCATCTTTGGAATATTTAACTTCAGTTAATTGGATGTTATAAAAATAAATACAACATGATCTCGGAAGGTCCAGCTTTTCTATTAATTTATTCAATCTTTCATAGTAAAGTCTGGTAACAAAACTTTACCAAATCGAGTTCCCTGGCCTGCTGTTGGTGTGAACCCCGATGAGTTCTTTGTCAGTTATTGGCAATTTTGTTTCGTGCTGTGAGTTTGATTTTGTGCAATCAGATATTTGAGGACACCTGAGTATGGTGTAAGCTTAATCCGTGGCACTGTTATCTCGTGGAGCTAGAAGTGCTGGTGCATGGGGAGCTGCAGCAGGATCTAACAGCGATGGGCAACATCCAAGGTAAACATCAGGGTTGGTCTAACAAAGAGTGGAAACCAAATGTGAAAAGAAATAACATTGAAACAGTTAAGTGCTCTATCATCTGTCAGGCATTAAAATCCAGTGCTTTCCTTCTTCTGTGTAGTCACTGTGAGGGTTTGTGAGGTGTGGGATGTGCAGGAGGTGGGGCGCTGTGTTCATGTGTCTGTCCCCAGTCAGCAGTGCCCACAGGTATGGATTGTCTTCTCTCTCATTAGGACTTAAGCCTGTCTGTTGATTTTAACATGTTAATTGCAGAATGGCTCCTATCTTACCTCCTGTCGAGCCACAGGACCCACCATGTTGCTGTGGGTGGGGTCATATCAGGACCATGAAGCACGGGAGGTGTGCATCAAATGGGTTACGTGGGAGGAATCGGCAGCCTCGGCCTCCATCCCTTCTGCATTTAAAGCCAGCTAGAGGCAGCTGCCAGCTGGCAGCAGGAGGTGCGGATGTGTTAAGGCCAGGCAAGAGCTCTGTCCCACTCTGCTGCTCCCACTCCATTTGATTTATCTTCTGCCCCAACATGGAGCTGTTTTCCAAGACAGTTCAAGCCAGTGCCTCCATCTGAGCCACTCATTTTCCATCGTCCCTCTGCAGATTCTGCTCTGGCATGCAGAGGCTTTGGGATCTCAGCTCTCCTCTTTCCTCTAATCTTCACCTCCCAAGATAATCTCCCAAATCCTGTTCCTTGGGGCATTTCCATCAAGGTAAGCAGGTGGCCCTGCTCACCAGCAAGCCGTGCCACTGCAGCCATTGCCCTTCAGTCTTCTTTAGTTCAAAGGTGAATCTCAGTGCGAGGGGAATTTGCTTTGCTGATGTTAACTGCATTCCTCCTGATTTTGTGTTCTCTAATTGAGTGCTTAAATTGTGCATCTTGGTTATCTATGAGAGCGGTTGTTGTTAGGTGCAGTCCTTGAGTTAAATCTCCTATTAAACTATAATACAATTAAATATATATATATATGAATTGTTAATAAGTAATGAGTTTTATTCTGTTTGGGGATTAATTGATTAGAAGATGGAGCATTGGCTTCCAGAGCCTGCGGTAACTGCTGTGCTTTTCAGTGCATTTCAGCTGGTGCTCTTTCAGGAACCAGCAGAGGATTTTGGCCATCTCCAACTGTGCAGAAACACGCCGATGTGCTCAGCTGTCTGCATCACCAATGCTGGCCAGCCTGTTAGCACTGGCTGTGCTTTACCCAGCACATCTCAGCCTACCACTGCTCTAGTTAATGAAGATCGATTGGCAGTTTAGAGATGATGCCTTCACACTCCAGTTTCCAGTATCCTTGAGAACATCTTGGGACCACCATCCAGTGATACCTGGGCCCCTTCCCACCCGTCTCTCAGCAGATGGCAGTTGGCTGTGGAAGGTTCCCACTTCCCATCCAGCCCTCTTCTCCATCTCCACTCCGGGTGCTGTGGGAGCCCTGAGCCCACGGTCCAGCAGCTGCACAGAACAGGGAGGTGTGTGGGGTGTCCCAAGGGGTGATCCCAGCACTTCTGCCCTCTAATCCCATTAGTGACAGGGCGCTGGGAGCCAGGCTGGACGCTGCTCTAAGCCCTGCACACAATGCAGGGTGACTTCAAAGCAGGACGTGCCATTTGCATTTCCAAGCTCTCACAGCCAAGGTCTCCGGGAGGGGATGAAAGTGGCTTTTGTTAAACCTAATAGCAGAGTTGATTAAAAAAGATGTGATTTTCCCCTATTAGCAGCATAGTCTGATTGTGCTGCTATGCTTTCAGTGTCTGGGGGAGGATGAATTTAGGGGAAAGAAATACAGAAAGTAAGTAACCTGTTGCTTAAGCCAGCTACGATCATACCTGGGGGTATTCCAATATCACTTTTCCTCGCTTGAGAGCCGTATAGGAGCTGTCTAATGTGGGTATTGGCACAAATAGCAGAAAATATTAATGATTCATTAAGCTTCTCCCTGCACCGTGACCTCAGCAGAGCCGAGGTGTCTGCTCAGGAGGTGGGTCCCAAATGTCTCCAACTGGGTTCTCAAAGTGAGAAAGTGAAAGGGCAGATTCTCGCCTGCAAACCCCTGGTGGAAACCCCCATAAAGCTGTGTGCCAGCAGCGGGCTGTGCCTTACCTGCTCAAAGTAAGCAGTGCCTGCTCTGGTCTTCAGAGGCTTAGTCATTTCCTTTCTTTGCTTTGTTTGAAGAATATTGGCAAATAATTTCACATCTGGATTTATGCATTGAATGTCTCCTATAGTGTATAAAACAAAGCACCTAATGAAAGAAATCTGGCTTCTTAACTCCTGGTTTAGCTGTGGTTCTGTTTTAGCAATAACTATTGCCACACCGGTGGAGGACTGAGGAAACATTTCCTATTTGGGGGCTGGGAGGGGTGTGATTTTCATATACACTTCTAATTCTGTCTCTGCCAGTGTAACTCTTCCCGCTGTGCTCATCACTGTTAAAGGACAGGTTTGGTTCAGCAACAGATACCCGTTTTTACCACGCAGCTGAACACTCAGGATGTGGTGTGCTCCTTACGTTCACTTCAGAATCATTTGTGACCTCCTGAAAACTACCTGCGGCGCTGCGGGGATGCAAAGCCTGTGCCGTGCCCTCTGCACTACCTAAAGACCATATAATCCCTTATCACAGGCTCTTAATGGAGGCGAGGACGGCGTGCAGGCACTGCACTGCGCCAGCATCCCCAGAACGAATCGCGGGCTGCAGGACAAACGCTGTGAGCTCCTCAAGTCGGGCGCGGATAATCCGAGCGCCAGCACCCCGGGGAGACGTTTTGTTGCAGAATCGCGTGTGAAACATTTCACCCCTTTGTGTTTATGATTGATTTCAGGGATGAGTACGAAGAGGATGGGTTTTGCCAGCCCTACCGGGGGATCGCTTGTGCACGGTTTATTGGAAATCGGACCATTTATATGGAGTCTTTGCATATGCAAGGTGAAATAGAAAATCAGATCACAGGTGGGTAAAAAATGCACTTGTCTGTTTCCTAGAAAAATTCTTCGAAAAAGCTGCTAATGCTTTATAAAGTGCAACGCTTTTTGTTTTGTTTGCTGCTGATCCTCTGTTGCTGTGAGCTCCTCAGCACGGATACCGGTTTTCATGAATCATAGAATGGTTTGGGTTGAAAGGGACCTTTAAGATCATCTAATTCCAACCCCCTGCTATAGGCAGGGCACCTCCCTCTCTAGGCCAGGTTGCTCACAGCCCCATCCAGCCTGGCCTTGAATGCCTCTGGGGAGTTTTGTCATTGTGCAGCCTGCAAGCACTTTGATTTTCACTTATTGGTCCAAAGATATCCAAATATCCAGTGACTTTGCAAGCCATTGTAAATTACTTGGGGAAATAATGTATAATTAGATTTTGGGTTTTGGTAACGTGCTTAACATTAGGCCAGTGTTGAAAACCAGATGTGTTTTCTCTGTCGGCGAAATCAGCATCGTTAATAACTTTTAATGCAATTAGTGCTGTGTATTTCTGGAAGGTCTGTTCGTCACCTGGATCTCTGAAAGTAATAGCCACAGTGGGAAGGGAGGGCTGTGCTGGGAAGGCGAAAGCACAGGAGTGAAATTCCCACCGGGTTAGGTAAAATCCTCTTGTATATTTTGCAGCTGCCTTCACCATGATTGGCACTTCCAGCCATTTGTCGGATAAATGCTCCCAGTTTGCTATTCCTTCTCTCTGCCACTACGCCTTCCCCTACTGCGATGAGACCTCCCCAGCTCCCAAGCCACGAGACCTGTGCCGCGACGAATGTGAAATTCTGGAGAATGTCCTGTGTCAGACTGAGTATATTTTTGCTAGATCCAATCCCATGATTCTGATGAGATTAAAGCTGCCCAACTGCGAAGATCTTCCCCAGCCAGACAGCCCCGAAGCCGTCAATTGTATTCGGATTGGGATTCCCATGGCAGATCCCATAAATAAAAGTAAGTGAAAAGTGGTTGTATGTCCATGCAGAAAATGTAATGGTGAAGGGGACGAGGCTGCCTGTGCCTCAGCGCTGGAGCTAGTGCTGGGTTGTGAAAGTGCAAAGGCACTGTGCTTTACCACTCTCCCTTAGGGCACTTCTGCCCACACCAGTCTGGCGTGGGCTAAATTCAGAAATATTTTTTCAGTTATTTCTTTAGCTTTCCCTGTGCTTACATCAAAATCCATTAATTTGGTTCTTACCTTTTGGAATTAATAAGTAGAGGGAAACAATGGCAGCATAAGTATTTGAATACTGGGGAATTAGAGAATTAGAGAACTGTTTGAGTTGGAAGGGACTCGTAAAGGTCATCACGTCCAACTCCCCTGCTGTGAACAGGCAGCTTCAGCCTCCCTGTGCAGCTCCAGGGTGCTTACCTGCATCTCTTGGGTCCAGTCCAGAGCTGTCCCTACCTAATTCAGCCACCGAACTCAGCCTTCGGTCAGGCAGGTCTGCTGCCTGCTCCCAACCTTTGTACATCTGAATAACCAAGTATAACACATGGCTTCCACAAACTCTCCACCTTCATGCGAAAATAATGGCTGCAATTCAGGTTCCTACTGTAGTTTTTACTTCTTTTGTGTATCTTATATTAAAAACGCTTGGCATAAGCTGTTTTCATTACAGAAGCATAAGCTTTAAATCCTCCCAGGAATGTGAATGCAAAGCAGGCCCCGCATTGCAGCCGCAGCAAATTGGAAGCCCGTGCTCCTGAGCTGGCTTCACCGGCCTCGGGCCAGAAGAAGCGTGCAAATCCTTGCTTTCTGTTATCTTCTCTTCCAGATCACAAATGCTACAACAGCACAGGGGTGGACTACCGGGGAACGGTGAGTGTGACCAGGTCAGGGCGGCAGTGCCAGCCGTGGAACTCGCAGTACCCGCACACACACACCTTCACTGCCATCAGGTACCCTGAGCTCAACGGGGGGCACTCCTACTGCCGCAACCCCGGCAACCAGAAGGACGCCCCGTGGTGCTTCACCTTGGATGAGAATTTCAAGTCCGAGATCTGCGACGTCCCGGCATGCGGTAATTACTGTCTTACCATAGGCACTTACTATATATTATCACACAATACGTTGGAGGGGACCCACAAGGAGCACTAAGCCCAACCTCCCCACAGCAGCACCCAAGCCCAGCTCTGTGGCAGAGCGGTGTCCCAGCGCTCCCTGAGCTCCAGGGCTGACCCACTGCCCTGGGAGTGGTGCTGTGCCCACTGCTCTCTGGGGCTCAGCCTTTCCCTCACCCCCACCTGACCCTGTGAGCATTACTGCCTGTGCCACTGGCAAACTAGTTGCATGAAAATATTTTATTAAGGAATAGCTCCTCTGGAGTTGGTAGCTCAGCCCGAGCATCCCAGGATTCCCAGGTTGCCATTGGACTCCTCAGTCCAAACAAAATGCCTTTTTGGTTTGTGTTTACCAAAATGCTCTGGCTGCATTTTGGACTTGCAAAAGGAATAAAAAACTGAGATTCAGATCACATTTTATTTTCCTTTTCTAAGACTTCTAAGGGGAAGTGGATTGCAGACCTAAACAAATGGTTCCTAATGGTTTAACCTGCATTAAAAAATAACAGTGCCTATAGCATGCCAAGAAAACTAACAACTAGTAGCATGGTCATGCCAGAAATGCACACAGAAATGTTCTGGAAATTCATAGTACAAAGTTTCACACACAATTTTATGTTGCTTCCAAGTTGTGACAGTGACATTGCCTTTTCCCTTGGAAAGGAGATACCTTTTAATGTTACTGTTCAATGGCCAGAACCAAATCAAATTATTTCTGGTTATGGTTATGAACATTCCTCCAGTGAGACATGTGCCAAAGTCTTTTTCAATTAATGGAAAGATGGGAATCAATGCCAAAATGGGATCTAAATTATGTCTTTAGTGAAAGAATAGATTGGGGACAGGCAGACAGTTTGGGATCATCATGTACATCACAAACCCTCTCTAAAATTCATATACAGTTTTCAGTCCTTTATCTCTTTTCATGCTGTTTCAGTTCTGCTATTTTTCTTCTTCATTAGGCACAGTGATGGACTGCACAAGAGTAGTTTAAGCTATATAACATGGACCCAGGCAGCAGTCAGGATGTTCCACAGGTCTGGTCAGCCCTGGGCTGTCTGCTGCATGAGCTGCAGGTGCCTGGGTTGGTCCAGGTGGGGGAACCTGGCACAGCCCATGCCTTCCATAGGGCATCTGGATAATTGGGTAATTAGGAATTGCTGGAGGGGAGCTGCTTGCAAGCCCCCCTCTAGATGGGCTCTGAGATCCCAGGACTGTTCTGGTCTTTTGATGTGTACTAGCTGAAAGCAGAATACTTTTGGCTGTCTTGCAAGAGTCTCTGGTTTGAACATTTTACTAGATAATAAATGAGATAGGAATTCTTTGAGCCAGCCAGCCTAACAAGGGTTTTAATTACCTCTCACCACTGCCTTAAATGGTACTTGCTGTACAGCTGGGTTGTATGGCATTATTATTTTAAGTACAGACAAATAGAGCTATATCAGGTGAGCAGTAATTTAATTGTTGAATGCTAATCAGCATAGTAAAACCCAAATACCAAGTGGGAGTTGCATTCTGCTGTTTTTGGACGAGCTGAAAGAGCCGTTTCAGGCAAATTTTAATAAGTATTGTGCATTCTGTCTAACCAGGACATGCCTAAATGGGAAATGAATTTAATTGGGGTGGCTCTCAAGAAACCTATTAACCTAATGAGGCTTCGTGGCAGGGGCTGCTACTTAATAAGAATAATAATCTCCTTTGATTGAAGTAGCTCAGGTGATGAACTAGTGCCCAGGTCTCCATCTGCTTCATGCTGCTGCTTTCTTTTCCTTTCTTCAACTGTATCTTTCAGTTGTCTCACAAGCTGCAATAGATACGTTTCATAAAAGTTTGTCAACTTGGATATGGGAAACATGGAGCAATTGAAGCATGAGGCTTAGCAAAGACAAATGTAGTGAAATGCTGAGAACAGGAGGCTGGAAATAGATGAGAGATGAAACTGTCCTTTTCAACAGCTGCCCACAAACCTGCTGAAGTCTTTCTTCCATAAGCCATTTTAGAAATTAACTTCTGTGGGGCTGTACTGAACCGTTGCTTCATTTGACCCCAAGCATTAGCCACATGACAGCAGTCAGCTATTCTGTGACGCGAGGAGGTTTGAACCCACATGCTGCAGTGAAGTGGTTCCTGGCTCGTTGGTGTTCCTGCCATTCTGTACTTCTGGGGAATTGTTACTCAACAAAATGAATTGCTCTGTTATTATTAAGGAAGGTGGACTGTAATAGTTTATTCTTCTAAACACTTCTAATTGACCTAGAGACATGTTCAGCTGCGTGGAGACTTCATTCATGGCTTGTTTGTTTGTTTGTTTGTTTTTCCCCAAACTAGATTATAAGGATGCCAAAGAAAAGAACAAAATGGAAATCTTGTATATCCTGGTGCCAAGTGTTACTATTCCCCTGGCCATAGCTTTGCTCTTCTTCTTCATCTGCATCTGTCGCAACAACCAGAAGTCGTCCTCCCCTCCAGTTCAGAGGCAGCCAAAACACGTCAGAGGGCAGAATGTGGAGATGTCAATGCTCAATGCCTATAAACCAAAGGTGAGCCCGCAGCTCGTTCCTGCTTTGACTTTTTGCTGCCTGTAAGGGCAGGGAGTGCAATGCTTTGATCAATTCAGCGCTGAAAAGTTAAACTGATTTCCAACTTGTGGTTTCTGCTGGTGCCTTTACTTCGGGTGAGCGCTTCTCTTGTCAGCAGCAGCATAGCGAGTGTGGACCTGCAGAGGTAATTCCTGTATTGTTGTATCTGCAGAAATAGAAGCTGGAGCTTTTTGTAGCAGCCCATTCCTGAAGTACCTCTTGATTACTTATTTGGAGGCCTTTCTGAAGTCAGAAAGTAGTGCAGATAAATACATGATTCAGCATTTTCTCAAGAGAGTTTTTTCCTGGGTCTGCTGTAGACACATGTCACCTCCACTCAGCTGAAATCACTTTGGAAAGATTTGCTCCTTGTTTTTTCAGGCTTACCCATTCTCTCAGTTAAAAGAGAAATTACTGAAACAGAGCCCAAGGATCTGTCTCCAGCTCTGGCCAGCACAGCTGGTGTGGAGCTGCTCTTGTTACGAGTGTTGTTTTGCTTCACTGTAGTCCCAGGTTCATGAAGCGCTTGCTTTTAAAATCATTTAAGATTTAAGCACGATTAACCTTGAGCTCCTTGTTTATCAGCAGGGCAGCCAGCATGCAGACCTGCATGGATCACCCACTCGGGGCTGTAAATGCCTTCTGCCACCTACAGGCAGAACAGTGCCCTGGAAAGGTTACTTCATTGTCTTCTTTCTTAACACCGTGCCAGTTCTCTTCAAAAACAGCTTAAGGGAAGTGAAGCATTTCACAGGGAAGACCAACATATACAAGTAATTAGAAACTGTAGAGAGTGATGTCTGAAACACTCAGATTTGCCTTTCACAAGCTGTTATTTTTGCAGAAAGATGAAATAGTGAAATTAACCCAGATTCTGATTTTGTTGAAGTGTTAGCAGTGTGAACACTAAGCGTTGCTTCTTCAGATTTTGCTGCTTTTTTTCAAACATTGCTGTTGTAAGTGTTCTTTCCACACTGCAGAGATCACTACAAGGTCTGTATAAGTTCGTGGTGTTGCACAGCATAATGCTCACACGAGGCTCCTTGTTTTAAATAGTGACAGATAGTGGGATTGCAGGAGGGGACAGGCAGAGTTTGGTCTGCACAGCAAATTTGTCTTTCTTTTTCCCTTATAGTTCTTAATTTCAACTTCCACGTACAGCTTAGAGCATCTGAAAATGCTTAATACGTGCTTAATAACAAAATACCTGCTTAAAAACTAAGTGTGGGTAATAATTAAAAACCATTTTGCTTGGTGGGTGTCACAGCTACACCTTGCATTCAACTTCTGTGGAGTATTTTGATGAATTTGGATTTGCTTCTTGGTCCCCATTCAAAGATATTTTGCTAAAATCCTCACCAAACTGAAAATGATGGGAACATCAGATTCATTTGAACAAGGCTCCATTTTCCCCCTGGGCTGCTGACACACTGATGCCTCGTGCCTGCTCATAGGAAAGCGACTTACCCAAAAGTATTTTGCAAATATAGAGCACACTGTCTTCTTGTTATGTTTCAAGTCATATGGTGCAAAAAGCTTTCCATTTTATTTATGCTCATTCTATATTTTCCTACTAGGAAACTGAGCTCTGCCTGTTTCAGATGTTTTGATTGCCTTTCAAACAAAATTTTAAAAGAAAGGAAGTGGAATCCTATTTTTAAATACCGTATCCAGTATTAATGTCAACTTGGGGTAAAACCACTCTTAGGCTTTAAGCTCCAAGTGAGGTGGATGTGTTTGCTCGGACAAATAAAAATGTTAGCATTTCAGCCCGCTTCAGTTTTAAAGGATTTTAATTGCCTTCAAAAAATATAATAAACGGAGCTCATCCTGTCATTCACCTAATGGAAGGGGCCGATGCAGAGATAGGGGCGGTGGGCTTCGCTCCCATTGCTCTGCCTTTGTACTCAGTTTACTTTGGCGTGCTGCCTCATATGTATTTTACACTTCTTTACATTTTGTACACCGCTGTATGACAAATACTTGTCAAACAAAAACTAAGCAGATTTATAACCGCTTAACTTGAAATGAGCCCTTCCTGCCAAAACTTTATGACTTCATTTTCTTTCATAGTTTTCCACTATGTTGGTTCAAACAGACAAACCCTGCCCGAGGTCAGACAGAGGTCATTTCACTTTCATTACTAAAATATAATTTACAATATGCCAGACCTAAACAAGTTTTAGCCTAAAGGATTTGTATAATATAAACCATCTGTTCTTCAACAATATAGCTAATTTCCTGCCATCACCGTACAGTCTACTGGCTGCCTGCTTAAATGGCTCGATGATGATGATGATGATGATTATTTATGCAGTATTTGTCTAAAAACTGGAAGTGGTCAGTACAATTAGAATTCGTTTCTTCTGAAATGCCACTTCTAAACGATTTTTTAAAACATCAGTTAATTTTCCTCTGTTGCTACTGTAAAGCTGCAGCTATAATGTTTCAGGAATGCAAATGCTAATGTTTACGTACCTTTGCAAAAAGTAGATCCCAAACTCATTAGCCTTAAATTACTACCTGTAGCGATACAGAGGGCCCAAAATGGCTGTGTTTGCATGTAGGTTAACAGCACGTGTGGAAGTTGATACTTGAATATAATGCAACTTCTTTATGGCCTAAGAGCACACAACTACAGAGTTTCAAAGAGTTTCCCTTTCTCTTTTTACCAGTATCTCCTTTTTCCAGCAGACTGTCCTACACGCTTTAGGATTGATCATTCAGTCAAGGGTGAACAGAAATAGTCTCTCCTGTACATGGAAGGGTTAATAGCAAAGTCAAGGAAGAATTGGCTACGAGAACATAGCTTTAAAAAAAAAGGTTTCTGCTAAAACCGTAGGCGCTGGCCCAGAAAGCACTTCAGCGTGCACTTAGCTTGAAGTATGTGAATTGCCTCAATTCCTGAGATCAGTCAGGTTCAATTGTAAGTATATAAATGCCCAAACCCAAGTATATAAATGCCTTTGCTGAAATGCTGATGGTTCCTGCACATATTTATATTTCATACTTACTGCTTCTATCTGATCTTGTGCAGAGGGTAAAAAGTAATAGTAAATTTAGGTTTGGAACAGGGTTCAGAGTAAGATAAAGCGGCTTCCAGCCCTGAGCTGTGCTGATGCTGGGATGCTGGTATCCCTCAGGATGGATCTGGACCGGGGCCGCTGCTGTGCTTGCGCTTGCATCTTGCAGGGCTGTGGAGCCCCAGGAAGGAGTTCTAGTGTTGGTTTGCATGGCTTTCAGAGTTCCTGTGTGAAAAGACCTTCTTGCTGTCATTTCTTTCCCAGAGCAAGGCTAAGGAGTTGCCTCTCTCTGCTGTTCGTTTCATGGAAGAACTGGGTGAATGTGCTTTCGGCAAAATCTACAAGGGACACCTCTACCTTCCGGGCATGGACCATGCTCAGCTCATTGCAATCAAGACACTAAAAGACTTTAACAACCCCCAGCAATGGGCAGAGTTCCAGCAAGAAGCATCTCTTATGGCCGAGCTCCACCACCCTAACATCGTTTGCCTCTTAGGTGTGGTGACCCAGGAGCAACCTGTCTGCATGCTCTTCGAGTACATGAACCAAGGAGACCTCCACGAGTTCCTTATCATGAGATCACCACACTCAGACGTTGGGTGTAGCAGCGATGAGGATGGAACTGTAAAATCCAGCCTGGACCACGGGGATTTCCTGCATATTGCAGTCCAGATTGCAGCAGGGATGGAATACTTATCAAGCCATTTCTTTGTCCATAAAGATCTTGCGACTCGTAACATTTTAATTGGAGAACAGCTTCACGTGAAAATTTCAGACCTTGGACTCTCAAGGGAAATCTACTCAGCAGATTATTACAGAGTTCAAAACAAATCTCTTTTGCCGATTCGCTGGATGCCACCGGAGGCGATTATGTACGGCAAGTTCTCTTCTGATTCAGATATTTGGTCATTCGGAGTTGTTTTATGGGAGATATTCAGCTTTGGACTTCAACCGTATTACGGATTTAGTAATCAAGAAGTCATAGAGATGATCAGGAAACGACAGCTGCTGCCGTGCTCTGAAGACTGTCCTCCTCGAATGTACAGCCTGATGACGGAGTGCTGGCACGACCTGCCCTCTCGGAGGCCGCGATTCAAAGAAATCCACGCCAGGCTGCGCTCCTGGGAGGGCCTCTCAAGCCACACTAGTTCTACCACCCCCTCAGGTGGGAATGCCACCACTCAGACAACTTCCCTCAGCGCAAGCCCCGTTAGTAACCTGAGTAATCCCAGGTACCCTAACTACATGTTTCCAGCACAAGGCATACCACAAGGCCAGATCGCCGGGTTCATAGGGCCGCCCTTACCTCAAAACCAGCGATACATCCCGATCAACGGGTACCCGATTCCAGCAGGTTATGCCGCTTTCCCAGCTGCCCACTACCAGCCACAGGGCCCACCCAGGGTAATCCAGCACTGTCCTCCTCCAAAGAGCCGTTCTCCCAGCAGTGCCAGCGGATCCACTAGCACAGGTCACGTCACGAGTTTGCCATCTTCAGGATCCAACCAGGAGGCAAACATCCCTTTGCTATCCCATATGTCGATTCCCAGTCATCCGGGCGGAATCGGTATAACCGTTTTTGGAAACAAAACTCAAAAACCGTACAAAATTGACTCGAAGCAGTCTTCCCTACTAGGAGACTCGAGCATCCACGGACCTAATGAATCTATGATTTCAGCTGAATTGTAAATAAGTGAGGCCTTTGTAAATATAACTATTTACGATACAAACTAGAAAGTAGTAGAAGAGATTTATATTCAAATATTTTATTAAAGATTCTTCTGGTTGTTTAACAGACATCGCAGCAAGTATCTTCTGTGAAGTTTAACTGCTTAACAGGATGGGCAGAGCAACCAGACAAAGATCCTTGTGGTATGAATACTCAGCTTTGTGAATGGACGCATTGTTTCTCCAAGTGCCACCAACAGCTCAAAGAGGGGAAGGGGGAATTTTTTTAAAACAAGAACATTTTATCATACGCTTTTTCACAGCTTGTTAAGCCTCTGATGTGGTTTAAATCACAGAAATTTTTTAATGCTGAAAACATATTTTAATATTTGTCTCTTTTTTTAGGAGATGCAAATATTCGGCGATCTACTGGGTGTGCAATTTCAGTTCCAATAGCTAGTTAAAATATTTGCAGTCGAGGATTATGTTTCAAGTATGTGACCTGAGAGCTGGATAAATTCCTTCAGGTAGGATTTTGGTCTTGTGTTACGTTGGGAGTCTGAGTCCAGATTCAGGCCAAAAAGGGTGTTTTATACAACACCACAATAGCATGAGTTAATCAGCTTGAGAAAACCATCTGCTATTGGCTGCTGAAGATGGCTGGAGTTGTAAGAAATTGCCTTAAAGGAAATGAAATTAAAGTATTTTAATTTCAGAACCTGAATCAACTTCTTCAAAGATAACATTTCATAATTTTTATAGGTAGATAAAGTGGAAATTGTATATCCTTTTGTTGCTATGCAACTGTTTAATGGAAAGGCTCCAAACCACACTTTTATATATGACAGTTTTTCCCAGTAATATTTATTGTTTCAGATCAATATGTAATTTCAGTGACTCTGACTCCAGTAACCCTGAAAGAAGGGAAACTCGCATTCCATCAGGCAGCAGATCCGTTGATAGCAATTTACTGTCAATTTTAATAATGTGAATTAATGTTAATTTTCATCCTAGAAACATGACGTGCATAATTACTAAAATGTATTCAGGTATGAGCAATCTACAATATTCATTTGAAACCACTTTAATGAGTTACAGAAGTGCTGTACATTAACGACTTTTCGCAGTCTCTCTTTTGTACTGAATCGTATTTTTTCTTGTACACAATGGAAACAATCTTTGCTCAATTGACAATGTTGTATAATATGACTTTATTTTTATCTTTTTGCACAAAAGTGTGATGATGTTTTGTACAGCAGAAGTGAAAATACATCTCTGCATTTTATATCTTGGTCTGTTTCTTTTTATTTTTACCCTGATGTAGATGTTCTTGAAATATATTATGGTGATATTCAGCCACTACCTTATACAAATATTTTTCTTTGTTTTCACTGCATGCGTTTAATCACTGTATTACTTGACGATTGATTTATTAATTATGGGCATTTCAATTAGGCAAGCATGAAAATGTAATAACAAAGGCTATTTTATAACTAAGATATGTGCATTTTTGTATTTCACATGCCAGAGATGATATTAAACACTGATTATTTTATGCTGCTGTTTATTAAAATGTTGTATTAACATAATCATATCAGTATATCCTCAATTTTGGTAAAAGATGTATGAAAAGTGTTGTATTTACAGTGAGATGAAATGTGCTTGGATGGCAGTCTGCCCAAAGGCTCACTTGAGCCAGGCACGGAGTTCTGCCAATAATATCTGCAGTCATTGCTTAAGCTAAGATGAATGCTTGACCACGCAGAGCTGACAGAAGAAGAGGGATAGCATAGATGCACTGTGAGAAGGATGCTGCCAATGCTGTGATCTTACAGGGGCAGTGTAGCCCATTACCAAGCACCCTTACAGCCCCGTACCTAAGCTTTATGTCCTGCTGCATGGTGTGAGCTCGCCTGGTGCACTGCATTGCGGCTGGATCCGGAGCTGTCAGGCTTCCTCTGTTGCACAGGCACAAAGCTGTACTTGCAGCTTAGGATCAGTAATTATACAGCAAGGACTTTTTCTGACTTCTGAATACTTCATGAATCTGAGATGTCAGCTTCCATGTGGTTCAAATTTAGATCTGTATCAGTAATGAAAACATGTTACGTGTTAGGTAAAATTTAATTTTGACTGAAGATTCAGACAATAATTACATCTTATTAACTTCTGTGTCTGTGTCAGGTTACCAGGCTCCCAAATGCTAAAAACTTACTTTTGAACAGAGGTGCTTTACAGGAACTGATGAGGTGTTTTTTTCTCAAACCTATTAGCTCTTAAGTGAGCAGTGGCTGGAGAATTGCTCCTTCTCACTCATATCCACAGCTCTGTAGCACTCAGTCGGTGTCTTGTTCAGTAGACAGTATCTGTATTGTCATTCTTGAACCATTTTTTCTATGTTCCTACTGCATACTTTCAAGAGGATGTATCAGTGCAAACAGTTATTTTGCATCCTAAGCATGAAAAGTTCACTGGGAAAGAAAAATGATTTCTTTCGCCTGTGTTTTATGATGAGCTTTCTTAGCCTATCCTGTTAAGGACTGAAGTTTCCAACTCAAAAGTTAGTCTGCCACTTTGTACATATCATGTTTGAGAAAAAGAAGAAACTATATGCAGCCAAACAGGTTTGTGGTCCTCAGGTTACGCAGTTATGCAAAAGTTTCAGTAAAATACATGCTGAAAATGAAGTCAGTGGAGAAGAAAGAATCTCTGCATCATGGATGACATGATGTATGTGGAAAAACAGTGCTGAAAAGGATCTTGACAGATCACAGTCAGTGATACCAAGGTATTTGCTGTCAATAAATGTATGAAGAAAATGAAAGTATCTCCAGGAGGCCCTCTTTGAACCTTCACAGGCTGGCAGAACCAGCTCATAGGCACCTGAGCAGCTGGTCTCTGCTGGATGGAACACCAAGGCTTATCTGACCCACTGGGACAAATTTGAACACACTGGACATGATTCCAAAGACAAGAATGAGGCACACTGAAGCCAAACCACGCTTACATCAGTGCTGTGCATGCTTAGCTCCCACAGGACTGCCTCTTATCTAGGTGGGCACAGCTGTGAATTTGCATACTTAACTTTAATCACCTGAGTAGGAAAGCAGTAACCTAATGCTTAGTGGAGCAGCAGTGGGAATAGTCCCTGACACACCTTGTGGTTTTACGTTCAACCAGAAAAGCTCACTCACAGTTCAGTTTAGCTTTGTTCCGCTTTGTTTCAAAGCAAGCTGTATCCTTAAGGTTAAAATATTTTTAGGCTCACAGTTAGGAGCTGGAAGCCAGCACTGCACAATACACCTGAAACCTCTTATGAAGACCTCTTCCTGCCCTCCTCTCTCTCTCGGCGGTTGAAGTTTGTGAACTGTGAGGCTGAAATCACAGTCTTGGCTCACAAATGCTGCTAGGGGAACAAATGCTAGAGCAGAGAGGCAGGAATTCATCACAGAGAGATTAGAGGGAGAAAAAAAAACCCATCTTCTAGAAACCGATTAGATAATGTGAAGAAGAGATCCTGCCAGATATTAAGAAATTACTCCTCAGGTGGGAATGCAGACCTGCAGATGAAAGCTATTTTAATGGCAAAAGAAGGAAGAGGGAATTTTCCAGATTGCTGTTGCTAAATGCTAGAATCATCTTACCTTCTTCCTTCAAAGCGATAGGGCAGCCAAGACTTGGAAATGTAATAATGGATTGAGAAGCTCTAGAGGTTTGGAAGTAAAACTCTGAATAAACACTGATCAGTAAGCCTTCAATCTGGAGAATCTCATCCTCTCCGGCTTAGCTTATATTTCATTAAAAGAGAATAAATATTTTCTGATTTAAAGACCAAAATGCAGAGGTTGAAATGAAGATTTGTATCCTTTGTTCCCACAAAGGAGCTATTATAGTGGGTTTCTGCATCATCTGGATTGAAAGCAGAAGGTAAGGCAGAGAAGTACTTGTGTGGAAATTTGAGCTGGGAAACTCAGAAATACCAGTCCATGTTTATCCAGAGCATGAGAAATTGTCAAAAAGGAATCTACTATTTGCTTTGCATGAATAAGGATATCCAAGAAAGTTTCAGGCTTGGAAATACTCTATTACGTTTGCTTGTTCCAATATTGTTCTGTAACCTACATTCACCAGAAGAACTTTAAAATGTCCACCTAACTCAAAACACTCCTGACAGTATGGCAGGCAATGCAAAAACTATCTCAAGTACAAACACATGCTGTTCCCTATGGACCATTTCTATGAAACGAGTACCTTCCATATCTATTGGCTCCAGTTAGTGTATTTATCAGAAGGGATTTGGCTCGTTGGCAGGATCTCATTTCAGTATGCCCTTGCACTCTGTGCATAGCACTAAGGTAGCTGGGACTTCATGATCCGCATGCAAAAAGAGGGTAGAACAACCCCTTGCAAATTATATGTATTAATTAGAAATTAATGAATGTGATAGAGCTGCAGGTGGTGAGCAAGAGCCACCTACGTGTGGTGGTAATATCACTTGCAGAAAACAAGCTTCTCAATGTTCCTTGTGGAACGATCCATAGGAGTGTTTGCACTGATTTTAGTGGTGTCTGAATCAGTGTTTTTTACCTTCTGGAGTCTTGAGGGATTTTAATGAACTTGATAAAAGCCTGAAGCTTCAAGCTGTACATTTGGGAAAGCTCATAAACAGTTTTGATGCATGTGTTCAGATTGTTATAAAGCAGGTTCCCAAGCCAGCCAAAAGAGACATTAACATATTTATTCAAAAGAGATTAAATTGGCTTTAGTTCCAAGGTGCTACAATAAACCAAAAAGAGTCTTCTTGTTAGTTCACTGTTTATTGCAGCACTGTTATTATTTGCCAGGAAAAAAAAAAACCACCATCTTCACTGTATGTCACAATATTTTAACCAGTATTTCTTTAGAATATGAATTCATCATTCTGTGGTCAGGGAATAGAGTGAGCAGACATGCAGAGCTGCATTTCACCACCTCTGGTTCCTCTGGAGAACCTCAGTGGAAAATCAGGGAAGCTGGGCTTCTGTCTGTGGGAAGCTCAGCTCGTGGAGAACAAAAGCCTTTTGGAGGGGAACTGGCTGTGTTCTGAAGTGACTCCTTGGAGCACCTCCTTTGTGCCCCATCTGATCTGTGCACTGATACTGCACTGATAAATTCCCCCCCCAGACATCACAATGTCTTCATGGTATGTAAACTCATACCTTTGTCCCAGATTTTTTTTTGTTTTGCTTGAGACAGAGCCTGTGCGTTTATTCCAGTGAAAGGGTAGTAGCCAAATGGTTCTCGGATGTTGCAGTGCTAAATGGAGGAGCTGTGAGGGTGCTGGGACCAATCTTACACCATGTAGTCACACAAACCACATCCTCAAGTTCTGGGAGAGCATGCTTGCTTTTGGCTGCATCTTCAATGGCTCTGTGTTTTGTTGTTTTTTTTTTTTGTGGCCCCAAGTCTGCTCTCTCTGTGGGCCTGAAATCCTCTCTTAAAGATGTGACGTTTGTGGAATCTGAGAAGCAATTTTTATCTAGCTGTGGGCTTGCTTTTATAGGGGGAGAGAATATTGCCCCCAACTCAGTCACTCTCTATCCCGTCGTATTTCTTCCTGTTTGATCTCTCAGAGATTAAAGTTCAGTATATTTCAGGACAGTTATATTGCTGAGGTAATATAAAATTATTAAAAACAGAGAGAGAGACAATATTGTGACTACACATCAAAAGCTCTTTAAGACAAAGGAGGGAAAACTGACTTGAAACTGGAATTATTAGAAGCATCTGTGGTGTCCCTTATTTCCCATTTAACAGTGCAACACATTTTGGAATGTTTTAACTATTCCAAACTGGCAACCTGGTACTGACGTTGTTTTCTGATTTGTACCCTAACACTTGTGGTTTATCTGCTCCTGCAGAGGGAAATAACAGCTGTTGATTAATGAGCTTTGACCTCAGGGTACAAAGGAATGTTCTGCCATGCTGCAGCCTGTATGAAATTGGGTAATTTTTTTTTTTAGTCTTTGGAGGAATTTAAAACAAAACAGAAATATCTATTAGGTTCATAAGAAGCACATTATTTTTTGGTATACTTTGCAGCACGTAGCTGGTGCTCAGAGTACAGCGTGCATATGCTTGTTTATATGTGTGGGTACATGTATCTATAAACACTCAAATATTTTGGGTATTTATTTCCACAGTTAAAAAAAAAAATCTAATATTTTGAAACAGTAACTAACAGGAACCAGAATAACATTTATTTCCAGTCATCCTCCACGTAAACATAGGCGAGCATATTTGGGCAGATGCAGAGCTCCCAGTGCTGTTGTGGGATGATCCTGCCAAGCAGGGAGCCCAGCTGCATGAGGACCACGAGAACAACCCATCCTTGGAGGAAAGATCCCCTAAATGAGATCACATGCTGCCATACGTATGGAGAGCATCCTGTTTTAAGGGGCAGAAAAGAACAGGTGCTCTGATTTCCTAACGTTGGCTGCAGCACGTAGCCTTTCTTGCAGCGAGCCCTGAGCTCTGCACGAGGCAGGGGGTGGATCTCCTGTGGGGCCAGCACTGCACCTGTTCTGTGGAGCCCAGGTGGTCTGACTTGTGCTTAATTTGCCTCAGGGATGAAGATGGTTACCTGTCTTCCCTCCTAGTGGTAACAGCCCGCTGTGAAGGTGAAGAGCTGCAAAAGAGAGTCTCTTTGTGATGGTAATACGGGGTAAACGTGGAAAGAAAGAGCTGAGGGCAGGTGGGATGGAGGGGCTGAGGGTGTTGTGTGGAGGTTGTGAGGGCTGAGGGAGGAGTGGGGATGCAGCAAGGCAGAGAAGCACATGGAGGAGGTGGGGGGAGATGGCAGCAGAGGGTCTGTGGAGGAGCAGACACACCCGTGTGTTGTGTGAGAAGGGATAGGAGATGACAGTGCTCCCACAGACAAGAATGAGAGATCTGGGGACAGCCGTTGGTGTGTCTAGTTGCAGGGAAACAGGTGGCCATGACGGCGCAGTGGCACAACATGGCGCCCAGCCAGTTACCTCAGGGCGGGAAGTTGCCTCAGGGAGGGCAGTTAAGGCAGCTGCCTCAGGGCACTGCCCCGAGGAGTCGGCTGCTGTGGAGATAGCAGTTGATTTGCCCTCTGGTGGTGTCACAGCCATCATGTGGGGCTCATCCCATTCCACCAGGGCTGGGCTCAAGGCTCGGTCAACCCCACAGTGAGGAGCAGAGCCCCGTGAGATGGTGTGGAGTGGTAGCTGTGCCCTGTGTCCAGCTCTGAGACCTTTCCTAAGCCCTACATGCTGACTTACTGAGAGAATAGGGAATATATTTCCCTATCCAAGGTCCAGGTTTCCCTTTGGTTACGTTCACCTTCTCATACCTAGGTTTGCAGCAAACAGAACAAAATCTCAGTCTGTTGAAGTCATGGCTTGTTTTTGTTAGAGACTGCTTTGTTTTCCGTTGCTATCACACAAAATCATTATGCTGAACCTAACATTGTTTAAACAGACTTCACTGTGCACGACCCTGCTCTGGTAGGCCTTGCTTCTCTCAAATTTCATTGCAAGCTACAGGAAATGTGATAAGAATCTGAGTTGAGTCCGAATCAGAGTTCATTCCCTGGTGCAAAGCCTGCATGGGCTCTGGGCAGCTTCACATCACCCACGTGGCCCTGCAGCCAGGAGCTGAGCTTGGCTCTGGGGTCAGCAAACAAAATCTATGTGCTGTTCTGTTGATGTTACACTGAATATCACTGAATAATGGCTGTGTTCTGTTGTCTCTAAAGTGTTTTTATGCTCCAATAAATGCTTCTGAGGTGTGCATGTGTGTGTGTGTATATATATATATACACACATATATATATTTTTTTTTAAAGGCAATTTGTACTGAAAGGTAAGACAGTTGAGATTTACTGTCTTCTAGATGGTCTTGGTGCATTGTTGCCTAACCTGTAAGCAAAAGCTGCCCAGGAGGGCTAGCAGATGCCCAGGGAGTTGGGGATTCTCTCTGGGAAGGTCTCTCATGTTCCTAAAGGCAGAGTGTTTGCAATATCGCATGCCATGTTTATTTCTACTTTATTCCTTCATAGAATTTCTATGGAAAAAGACACATATGCAGATTTAACAGCGCAATAATATTCAGGTTGACTTGTTAGTGCTGTCTTGAAAAACGTGTGCTAGTGAGATAAGGATGTTGCTAGAGGAGGGAACTGAACAATGAGGTTTTCACATGACTTCACGCAGTGATGCTGACTTTTGGAAGGAGGGATGAAGAATGGTAAGAACTCCAGCTGGAAGGACAGCTGTAGCCGTGGAAGGTCATATTTTCAGAGATCTGTGTAGAGTTCATTGGTAAGCAAGAGCAATGTGAGTATTTTTCACTGAGAAGTGGGCATTGTTCTTCCTCTGGGAGATCATTGCCACCTCCTTTGAGTCGGATCATTTTGGTAACTCCTGTTGGGATCTCATGCTGCGCTGAGGGCAGCAGGCCCCAGTGAGAACAGCACAAGCCCTCTGACCAAGGTGCCATAATGTGGGTGAGAGGGGCTCTGTGTCTGTAAAACCACCGTAGTCCCACCTGCAGAATGGTGTGTATGTCCTGTGTGCTAGCATTTCAGAGGTCCCATCCAGGCAAACTAACATGTGCGTGTTAGAGAAGACACAAAAAAACAAGTGATCTGGACACTCTCTTCTGGTATAGCAGGAAGTGATGTCAGAAGCAGAATAATCATTCCAAACTAGGTTTGCAAAGCCCCAATCCTCAGAAAGGCCTGCCTTTTTCCAAAAACAGTTGTTATCAAGTGAATAGGATAAAAAGGTTAAAATTGCTTTTGTACAAGTTACTTTATGCTAAAAAGGCCTCAAATCCTAAGGAAGTTGGCTTTCCTAAGCAGTCAGGCTGTGAAGATTGCCCAAGAAGCCATAAATCTGGCATTTCCTAATTTCTGAGTGTTCAGCATTGCAATATAAATAATATTCCTTTCAAACATTGCTTTGTAGCAATTTCTTTGCAATATAATTTATGTATTTATTTTCTTATCTGGTAGTTAGACCAGTCTTGAAAATATGCAGACCGTTTACAGACCGCGATCAAGACTTAACATTATAAGTCTGTGCCATACAAATGCTGCTGCTGCACGTGGTGTAATAGTTGAATATGCTGTACATGCTGAATTGTTTCATGCTGGTGCAAAAGGAAGGGTCTTGCACTGTTTCTCCCTTATTCTGCTATTGCAGCAACTGCATGGATAGAGGAGCCTGGTGTGCATGCCAGTGCTTTTCATCTTGCTGCCTGTAAACATGTGTTTATTCAGTGCAGGCTGCTTTGTGCCTGTTTGTTCAGCTCCTCAAAATAATGCTGCTCAAAGCAGCTCGTAGAGTGGCAGACACCCAGCTGGGGGCAGAATTCAATTCCTGGTTCAACCCTGGAGCAATTCAAAGCATTTAGGGGTGGATGGTGTCAACCTATAAGCTGTTTGCCATGAAGGAAAGGACAGACTCACCATTTCACTTTTGTTAGCTCCTGTGTGTGTCTGACCTGTTGATGAGCCAGTTTTGCTCACTAAGCTGGCAGAAAATGGTGTAAACAGGAGGAAAAGTGGATTGTGTAGGGAGGAAATGCTTTTAGGACACTACGTGGCCAGGTGTGGGCACGTATTTTCAAATAGGAAAGAGATGAATGTGGAAGATAAGCGGTGGGTCACCTTTGCAGCGTGTCCATGTTTCTCTCCAGATGAAGAAGCAGGGGCAGCTACAGCAGGTAGGACTTGCTGCATACTGCCCTTCATTTTAGCAGTGCTTTTGCCATCTGAATGTACAGAGCTGAAAAACAACAGACTGGTTGGAACCACTGAGCTGTTGTTCTAATCTGACCAATAAATGTCTAAAAATCTTGGACAAATACAGACATGTTAACAGTTTTTGCCAAGAGAGATTTTTCTGGGTAGAAAAAAAAAAGTACATATTTGGAAAACCAGGCAAGTAGACCCATAGACAGGAAATGTGCAAATAGGATTTGAGTCATTTAAAAACAGAAGATATACAGGGCAAACAGCATCGATCTCTAGTTCCTTTAGAGCCTGGCAACAAAGCTGGTGTTTCTTAAAGCTGTGCAGCATCTGAAGGTCTCCTCTTTCTGCAGTAGATTGGTATGGGGGGAGGCCATGTATAGGCTACCCCAACAACCCTGAGAAATGGACAGTTAATAATGGGTAATATTTTACTTGCAATCCAGGTAAGGAAAAAGATGGACTTCTATACGTCTGCTCTGTAAGAAAATGTTAAAATTATGCAGTAGCTGTGGATTTTAAAACGCAGACTCTTGGTTGATTCCAGAACTTGGGTAAACGGGATCTGTTGGCCCTTCTTCCTAAACAGGAATTATTTCTTCTCCCTTCAGCGTTTGCTCAGCGGTGGCTGATTTGGCAGCATCTTGACTGATTTTTTTTGTGAAGTAGCCTTTGCCCTTCTTTATGTCCTCATTTCCAGCCTCACTGTCTGCCATTGCCTTGGATAATACTATACTCTCTTAACTAAGTACGTTCCCCAGGCATACGTGTGATTTTTCCAGACAACTTCATATTGATTATGAGTAAAACAAATGACAAAGCCATGTGTCATCTGTGGCTGCCCACTGGGATTTATAAAGGAACAGGGGAAATGGAAAGAAGCGAGAAGATGATGTCTTTGTTTCAAAATAACAAAATTAAAAGACTAATGTGATTATTCCAGCCACAAAGCAGCCAGTTTAACAAAATAGAGCCGTGTAATATTACTCATTAAATATGAACGTGGGGTTTTGATGACTTTATAGTCATGTGCATGTTCTTGTTTCTCCAGGTGATGACTATGTTTTCGTATTCAGTAACAGAAAATGCAGTGAATGTGGATGCAGTAGTAATGCCAAAACTCGATATATCTTTTTGTAGGCAAAGAGTTCTGCCATGTGACATAAAAAGCCTACACCCAGGAGGTAGCACTGTCTCTATTTTGTTATTATTCACAAAGAAATGTTCGGAATGATTAAATCTCTTATAAAAGTTTTAAAATCTAATTAAAAAAAAAAAAGTATACTTCAATTATGATGTCATTTTAATGAACAAGAACCTGCAAAAGAGCAAGGCAAGATGTGGCCTGAATTGGGGTATCTGCACTTACAAAGGACGTGGTGGTGAATGAGACCCAGAGAAATTCGTGTGCTCTGAGAAGCACAGCTGAGATGAAGCAGGGACTTGGGAAGTGTTGACCACTTCTGTGACACACCAGCTGGTTTCTGCACCCTCCAGCCTAAGCACAGTGCAGCCACTCAACAAATATTGGCTTTATTTCAAGGAAACAAACAGAAAACAAAGCTCTGTCCTTTCAAATCATCTAACGAAATGCATCCTGAAACCCTCATTCAAGTCTCTTTCTCCTCTGCTCAGCTGTTTCTGTACTTTTCTGAAGGAAAAAAAATCTTCTTTCTCAAAGGAAAGCCCCTAAAATTCCTCCACCTTCAGAAATACCAATTTCTGCTATTTCTCCCTGGTCTGCCCTCAGACATTCCCTTGAGCCAGGAATCCTGGTCCTCCCTGGTTCCCAGCAGTGGGATGCTGTTCAACACAGTGGGGCGAGTTCATCCCCAGGGCTTGTAAAGGATGCTTGTGTCCCACTTGCAGCACCAGGATGGAGCTGACTCAACCCAGTGCTTCTGTTTTACAGTGCTCAGCTGTCAGAATGGATTGCTTGTGGGCTACAAAAGTGTCAGGAGCCTGGGGATCGTGAAGGAGTTCCCACCCCTCTGAAAGCAGGGAAGCTGTGCTTCCAGAAGGCCATCATCACCATGGGGCAGTGAACTTTCCAAGTTCCTTCCTTTCCCATGTTCTTGTAATGTTCTGCTGGGGGGAGATATATTGCATGCAAACGGGAATCAACCCTGATCCCAATCCAAATGCAGGCGTAGCTCTTGCCAATACATTTTGGGATGGAGAGGACGTTCCTCCTCTGTTTAAAGTCAGCACAGTTTGCACTGAACAGATTAACTTTATACTAAATGAGATGAGAAATGTTTTAGAAGACCCCATTTTTCTTTGCAGAACTTCCTTGTCTTGGAAAGGACTGTGTTTCTTCTCTGAAGTTTTACCAGCCAGCCAGAGGGTCTTGGCATTGCCAGGTAACAAAATCCATTCTGATTTCACTGCCGCTATTTCAGAAAAAGCAGCTAAATCCAGGATGTTTGGGGTCTGTAACCTAAAGTGAGCAATTATTTTCTTTTTCTTGTTAGTGAATATTCTCAATTATTTAATTTCCCATGGAGACATTTGGCAAGCAGTTTCCTTCCCAGCTACTGCCAGTAACTCTTGTTCCTAAATGAAACAAGTTCTGGGCCTACAGGAGCACAGCCAGGAAATTTGTCATTGTTGGGCCAAGTGATATTTTTATTTGACCTAATCAATGACATTTATTTCAGGGGATACATATTTTAAGGTCATTTATTACATTAATAAATGTCACAAGGAAAACAGTTAATTCAGTCTTTAAAAAAAAAACCAAAACACCGGGTCATTTTTATGATGTATTTCTTTTTGTAGTGCTTGGGTTGTACGTGGCATCACTGTTGAAATATTTCTGAAGCTAACTTTCAGACGAGCAGAGGGAGCCAGATTCTGTTTCTCAGTTCAGTTGCCTTTGCCTCACTCCAGAATTTGGCAGGACTTGGCCTGCTGACGGTTTTCTTCAGGACACGAAGTTCTCAGCCCCTCTAATGTTAGTGCAGTGGTTTCCTAACTCGTTCTTTTTCCAGACCTGAGCCACAGAGGTGTGTGTGGGACATTAAGAA